ATATTCAGTCCAGTTAATTTTTGTGCCGGTAAATTTGGATGCCTTACAGATCTACTTTCTGCAAAACCCAATTTTACATGGATTAAGTGAAGCAAATGTAACTGGATCTCATAGCTTACACTACCATAATGATTTTGTGTTTTGTTTTTTGCAGGTCGATCTACCAAAAGAAACTATAATACATTTCTTATTGTTAGAGGTAAGCCTATGAATTAAGTTACTGGTCTTACTAGTGGTTTTAATTAATAACTTGAGATTTTAAAAAGCTTAAACAGAGTTGAACATTCATTTGTTATGTACAGTAAGCAAAATCTCATTCCTGGCTTAGAAGAAACTTAGCATACCCCTTTTTATAAGTCACTTTTTCAAGAAATCAAAGATTGTAATCTATATTTACATCCAAAAAATAAAGCATCCTGATGTTCTCAACATTAGCTTTTTTGCAGTCCCTGTTTCAGAGTAAGATACTTGTTTGAATGTTTTCCATCTTCTCAGTTTGATGACCAAGCTTTCTATACAACTGTGAAACAACTGATGTCTCGATTGCCAAAGCAAAGATACATTAAACAAGTTTGTGATGAAATCTATACCATCAAAATTGAAAAAAAGTAAGTATTCTTATGCTTACTAGTTGTACAGTCTGAGGCTCTCATGTTGAATCCGGAAGGTCATTTTGCAAATTTTAGGCGGATGTAGAAATACTGCAAGGTTCTACAGGATCAAAGATTGACGTTGTATAAGGCCCCTAGTGTTAAAAGGTCACTGAGTTCTCAGTGGTTTCCCTTCTGTGGGATTCAGTAAAGGAGCTGCAATCTGGAACCATCATAATGTGAAAATCCTGAACCATCAGACACTGTGATTTGAATTGGGATAGAAGATAGGACCCTACTATACTTGGATTAGCACAAAGATAAATTTGTCCAATAGCTGTTGGATGAATTTATTTGGCCTCTTGATCAGGTAGCCCTAACATGTAACTGAAATGAAAGAGCAACTCACAATTAGCTACGTTTTCTCAACTTTCTGCATGTTTCTTTCTTGCAGGGTGCCCGTCCTTGTTCTCTACAGTTACAAAGATGACTACTACAAAATCTTGTTTTAGTTATGAATATGTAAGGGATTAAAATCAGGATAATGAATGGGACAAAACATGTGCTTCCCATTATGTTAATGTAAAGAAAAGTTGCACTTTGTTGTTGCGGATTCCCCTTGGACAATCGCTGTCTTTTAAGTATTCTGTTGAGCTCATGTGCCTCAGCTGGCATCTTTAAAGGTGTAAATCTTTTCAAAATATATTGTACAGTATACTTTTCAAAATAAAAGAATCTTCTGGTAATTTAGGATGCAATTGTCTTCGCTTAAAGTAAAATCAGCAGATGGTAGTATTTGGGTTTGAAAAATTCAAGTAACTGCAATTTTCATTGTTTATTCCATGAATCTCCTTCCACTTTTTTAAATATAGTTTTTATTAAAAGTTTAAAAAACAATAATAACTACAACAAGCTAAATTAGAACAGAAAAAGTGAAAAAGAACAGAAAAAGCTAAAAGTGCAATAAGAAAATAGAA